CAATTCTACCTGAAAACTATGAATCTAGGCTTCTACTTACGCTGGTTTCAGAACTCAAGAACTACAGATAGAGTCATAGGCTTCTGATTAATCCATGACAAAGGAAGTGTTCAGAGATAGACCTTATTCATGATTTCTGAATAATGATAAAATATAAAACATGCAAAACTCAAATATGCAATACTCATAGATACAGACATATGAAGTGAAATTACAAAGAAAAGTAAGTGGATTGGTAACACAAAGTTCAGGAGAGTAGTTACCTGGCAATGTGGCATATGTCATGAGGAGAGGCACATAAGGGCTTCAAAGGTACAGGTAAATTGACAGTGACTGAGATGGTGTTTATTTTATTTTTTGATGTATTAACAGTATACTCCTATGTACTCTTTGTGTATGTATTTTATTGAAAGGGAAAAGAAAACAATAAGCATGCTTATATTCTGAAATGAGACAGACCTACGTTCAAATCCCAGCTCTAGCCTCTCTGAACTTTGGCTTCTCCATCTATAGACTGAGAATCATAATACAAAATGGGCAGCAGCAGCATTGTGTGGCTTAGAAATAACATATGTAAAGAATGCATAGGGTCTGCACATAGCACGTCTTTAGGAAATGTTATTATCTACAAGTCTATGGGGGGATGAAGCAGAGATTGTGCTAGGACATCTGCATCCTATTAGGCAGACTGAATAGGCAGACTGTGGTCAGACATTGTCTTTGCTTCTGTTGGCTGTTGCCTTCTTAGCTAACCTATCTCCTTTGTTAGTGTGTACTGAAATTTTGAAGAAATCACTCGGAACTGTACATAATTTTTAATGTTGAAATACTTCTTAAAAATGAACTGTAGACCTTTAAGAAAAAGATTTGTGAGTGAATGAGTGATGCCTGTAAAGAGAAGAGCTCAAAAGGAAAGTCGATTCTCTGTTAATGTTAAGTTCTAGCTTTAAAACACAGGTCACATATAGAGAAATCAATGAGGAAAAGGCTTCAGATTGGAACAGGCAATCATTTGCCACGGACATGCAAATGATGTCCATGGCAAAGGAAGCCCCACTGGATGGATATACAGATTTTTAGCAAAATTCTGAATCATGATTTTTTTTCTTTTTGCATTTTCCACTGTTCTGTATCCTTCTATATTTCCTAATATATTGAAGCCTTTGGCTTAGAAAAAGAAAAGGACTGTGTCCTTGACTGAAGAATTGGCTTTAAGCCATAATTTAATGTTAAACAAACAGTGTCTCTTTTAAATCAGGGAAAGAGAACTTCAAATGAAGAATGACAATTACAGAATTTTTCATATAAATATTCAGAATTGGCTGAAAAGGTGATTCATCATATCAATTTAGAAGGAAATATTCTACAAAAATGTATTTTTATACATTTTGCATCAAGAGTTAAAATATCCTGGCAGCAAAATGTTCACATTCAGTAGTAATACAATAACATAAATCAAAATAATATTGGAAAATTATTTCATTCTAAAAAATATTAATAACTCAATGCTGCCAAAGGTATTGCGAAGTGGGGGCATTCTTATGCTTTACTAGTGAAGTATAAATTGGGGCCATATTCTGGAAAGTAATTTGTTAGTACGTGTTAAGAGCTCTAAAGACTTTTGTATTCTTTGACCATATAATTCTATAGGACTATTTCCTTAAAAACTCTCAGCGGCATGGCCTCAGTCAATACAGAAACCACCCTCACCCTTCTTCTTTAGAAGCCTTGATCCCAGTTCATAGAATAAATGTTCATGTGTATTTATCAAGTATTTCTGACAATGGTGAAAAAGTGAGCTATCTAGGCCGGGCGCTGTGGCTCACGCCTGTAATCCTAGCTCTTGGGAGGCCGAGGCGGGCGGATTGCTCAAGGTCAGGAGTTCAAAACCAGCCTGAGCAAGAGCGGGACCCCGTCTCTACTATAAATAGAAATAAATTAATTGACCAACTAATATATATAGAAAAAATTAGCCATGCATGGTGGCGCATGCCTGTAGTCCCAGCTACTTGGGAGGCTGAGGCAGGAGGATCGCTTGAGCCCAGGAGTTTGAGGTTGCTGTGAGCTAGGCTGACGCCACGGCACTCACTCTAGCCTGGGTAACAAAGTGAGACTCTGTCTCAAAAAAAAAGAATTAAAAAAAAAAAGTACATTTACTAAGATTTTAATGAAAAGAGAAAATGCTCACAATTTTATGTTAAATGAAAAAAATTAGTATACAAATGATACAAAATTGTCTGAACTATGCAAAATATATATTTATAAAAACATTGGAATAAAAGACACCAAAATACTGACAAATGTTAATTTTTAATTGTGGGATTGTGATTTTCATTTTCTTTATGCATTTCTCTATGTTCCAAATTTTCCACAATGAGCACTGTTACCATTATAATAAAAACCAAAAAGACATTTTAAAAAATTCTGAGGCAGTGGCATATTTCTATATTAGTTATACATGAATTGACTCATGCATAGGGTAAAAGAAATCTAATGGCACAGGTATGATATACCATTTTTACTTCCTCAAGGAGGGTTAAAATGACATTTTCTCAGAAAGAATGTGTGCATCTTACATTACTATGAAGTTGCATAATTTTACTATATTTAGAGGACTCCAGTACTTGCATTAAACAAAAGTCATGTTTTTCATATTCGTATACAAAATGACATAAGTCTCTAGTCCCTTGAGAGATCATGCAATTTGTAATGCCTATTATTTTTATGTTATTAAACCCATCTCTGTTAATAAGATCTATAATTATTAGGCAGAAGGCATAATGAATTTGGCTGATTACAAAGGGGGGAGAAGCCAAGTGTTTCTAACTCTCTGGCATTTTCTAGTGATAGGCATTGATTCGAGCGCCGTTATTTTAAAGTAATTTTACAGAAAAAGAAATATGTTTACAGAACATTAATTGATGTGTTTACATAGCTTAAGAGCTTTAAATTTCTTGATTTGGGCATTTGTCTCTCTCTATTTCAGAATTTTGTGGTGTGTCTTAGCACGTTTAGTGTTGCTATAGCAGAATACCCACAACTGGGTAGTTTATAAAGAGAAGTTGTTTATTTGGCTTAGGATTCTGGTGGCTGGAAAGTTCAAGATTGGGCATCGGTATCTGGTGAAGGCCTCAGGCTGCTTCCGCTCATGATGGAAAGCAGAATGGGAGCTGGTGGGTGCAAAGAGATCATACGGGTAGAGAGAAAGCAAGGAGGGAGGAGGCACCAGGCTCCTTTTAACAACCAGATCTCATGGGAACTAACAGAGTGAGAACTCACCCTGAGAAAGGGCATTAATCTATTCATGAAGGATCATCTGCCCCCATGACCCAAATACTTCCCACCAGGCCCCATCTCCCAACATTGCCTACATTGGGGATCAAGTTTCAACAAGAGATTTGGAGGAGACAAACATCCAAACCATTGCAGGGTGGGAATAGGATAAAGCAGGAATCCATAAAGTTTACTTAGAATTGATGTTCTAAGTTAAGGATTTTGGTCCGATCCTTCATTAAATGTATATAATTCTTAGATTTAAAGGGTCAGTTTTAGAGTGGCATTACATATACTGCTGTTTACATGCGATGCCCTTTGCAAAAACAGGTTTAGGTTAAAGAAAGGCCAATGGTAATATACAAGGGAAATGCCAAAATAACTAACTTTCCAAGACTGTTCTTCAGTATTTGCTATGTGGCACTTACTATTCCAAAACACTGAGTGACAGCTTAATATTAATTACAAATGTTCATAAAGTCATCAAGTTTATATATCTCCTTTCAAAAATATTGTTTGATCCTAGAAGTCTCACACATTATAAAGGGATTATTTATATAAGGCTCTTTAGGTTACTTGAAAAACTTTTTGGTTTAGCTTACATGAAATGAATTTAGTATTGTTTTATGTTGGAAATTAGTAATTTCTTTTGTTAATATATAATATTATGTATGTAATACTGCTTTATTAATTGTTTCATGAATGCTGACTTACATCCCCAACTAGATTAAGATAGCAGTGGGTAGGAGCTATGTCTTATATTTGTTTTGTATTCCCTGTAGCATCACACACAATGTTGAAAACAGAGGGCACATTTGGAAAGAAGAGGGTAGACATAAAGACTAACGAGAGAGAAAGCACTGGAAAATAAAAGTCTAAAATGAGACTAGGGATGCTGGAGCTTAAAAGAACATTCTAGAACTGGACTTAAAGGTGTAAGGACAGAGTCCCTGCAACACATCTATGTCCAGGAGAAGCCTTTACAGGTGGGGCTCTGTTTGACTATCAGAAAGATTTTTGCTGAGTACGTCTCCTCACATTGAGTGAGGATTTATTAAGTTTGCGTACTGGTGCATTCATATTTGAAATGTAGTCTGATGTTCTTATTGCGTATACAGAAAGGAAATAGCCCTATCTTGTATTCTTAATGCTTTGGAGTTTTATTTTGAACTTGATCAAATCAACTATGCAAATATGTTATGAGTTGCTTGATATAAACACCCATATTGTGCATGGTATTTTTTCCCAAATATTGGTAAAGGACAATTTCAGAATTAATCAATTATATTTTACATTATGGCCCATAATAGTCATCTTTAGCTATCATTAAATTTGGACCAAAAGAGTGAACATCTTAAAATGCCTCCAGAATAAATTATCCATGCCAATTCTCATCAGTTCCTCAGACATTTCACCTTGCTAGGCTTTAAAGTTTGAATCTAATAGCATATGACTCTTTGCTGTTTTTATTTAATTAATAGTTTATTTGACAAATACGTTCCATGAAAGGCATTCCAAAAGGCTTTGGGAGATAAATAAAACAAAGCTCATGTTTATTATGGAGATGAGCATGAGAGGAGGGAGGGACACAGTCATGAATGATATATGTTACTATAATTTATATATGTGTGAATTACACATCAAGCTAAGTATTGTGTTGAGAGAAACTGTTGGAATCTAAGCGTTGCTAGAGTGTTACTGATTAAGCTAGCGTGCTTCAAACCCACCTCTGATTTTCTGTTTTGTGACGCTGTGACTCTGCAACCTTTCTTCGCTGCTTGGTTCCTGTAGGCTCTGCCAGTTGGAAACTGGAGAGACACTGCAAGGCCGGAGGAGGAAGAGGACGTGCTCTCCTTCCTGTTTGCTTTCTGTTTTTGATGGCATCACCTTAGCCACACTCCTCTGCGTGGCAGCAGAGGCTCCTTCCAGAAACATCAGTTGATTCCAATGAACTGATTTACTAAAACTCCAAGGACCAGCCTTATCATGCACTCTCAGAGGTGGAGCCTCAGTCACAGGGGAACCTCCCGGGCTGTCCTCACAGGTCTGGGTCTCAGCTCCCAGGGACCCGCTCCCAGGTTTCTGAGGCACCAGTATATCTGAGCAGCTCCCCTCCTCAGAGGTCTGAATTCCAGTCTGTGGTGCCCGTTCTCCAAAGTGCTGAGTTTCGATAATTCCAACCCCTTTCTCGAGTGCCTCAGTCCTCAGGGGAACGCTGCATACTGGGCCTGCTATCTCTGAGATACCTCGCTATTCCTTTTTCGCCTTTTCAGTTGTCCAGTATTGGGCTAGCAGCCCTTTATATGACATTCTCTCTGTTAAACTAACTGGTGTAATTTCTGTCTTCTTTCTGGATCATGACTGATAAGCTTGCTGAAACAATAAGATTGGGGTCAGTGGGGTCTTTATGAAATGTACATGGCTGATTGCTAAAAACTTCCTGCAGATAAGAGGGAGAAAGTACATTTTTATTTCTAGCTCAGAGGACTCTCCTAAAATCCCAGTGGATTGGGTTATATAGAAACTGATTTAAAAATACATATATTTAAACTGATTTTTAAAAATATACATGTATTTTTTCTCCTTGCTTGCATCAAAATTTCTTGTAGATGCTCCCATTCCTAAAAATCATGTGATGCATCCAGATGTTCTATAAGATTCTGATGACATGTTAAAAAAACAAAGTATGTTTATCTGTATAAACATGGTCTCATTGGCTCCAGCCTTAAAATGGAAAGGAGTTAATTAAATAAAAAATTTAAAAATATTTATTAATTCAATTTTAAGTTACCAATAAAAACCCATTATGCATGAACATAAACATTTTAATGAAAAATAAATAACTATATTTTCAAAAACACAAACTAGTCAGATAAGAGGCAAGTTTAAAATTTTTGTACATCTCTGTAATGTCTGGCTTAACATAAGCAGCAGGATCTCATATATGCCTCTGCATCCAATCTACTGAGATATGTTGTTCTTGTGAAGTATGTGAAAAAAATACTGCCTCACACAGATATACAGTGTATTATGGGAGGAGTATTGTAATACCTTTTCAAATTGTTACAGATAATCTTTACTACTACACGAAAACTTGACAAGTGATGGTTGCCTAAAAATTACTTGCAATGTTAAATCTAAAAACACACCAATAGCCGGGCACGGTGGCTCACGCCTGTAATCCTAGCACTTTGGGAGGCCGAGACGGGCGGATTGCTCAAGGTCAGGAGTTTGAAACCAGCCTGAGCGAGACCCCGTCTCTACCAAAAATAGAAAGAAATTAATTGACCAACTAAAAAAAATATATATATACAAAAAATTAGCCGGGCATGGTGGCGCATGCCTATAGTCCCAGCTACTCAGGAGGCTGAGGCAGTAGGATTGCTGAGCCTAGGAGTTTGAGGTTGCTGTGAGCCAGGCTGATGCCACCACACTCACTCTAGCCTGGGCAACAAAGTGAGACTCTGTCTCAAAAAATAAATAAATAAATAAAAACACACCAATAAACTTAAATTTTTTTCTCCAGATCTATCCATATATAACTGACATCACATCACATATTTGAAGTATGATTTAGTGAGTTTTGATATAGGTATATGTCCATGTATATATCACCACTATCAAGTTAACAAATGGTTTTTATTACCCCCAAGTGTTCTTCTGCCCCTTGGTAGTTCATCCTTCCTTCCTATGTCCCCCAACTTGTTCCCAGGCAAGCACTGATCTGTTTTCTGTCACTATAGATTACTTTGCATTTTCTATAAGAGCAATGACCAAAAGAAACATATTATGAACTGTGTGGGTCCGGTTATACACCAATGTTTTCAATAAACATATTAGAATTTTGTTGAGATTTGCAACAATTTGAAGAAACTCACAGATGAACCACATAGCCTAGAAGTATCAAAAAAAATTAAGAAAAAGTATGTCATGAATGCATAAAATATATGTAGATATTAGTTTATTTTATCATTAACTACTATAAAATATACATACATCTATGATAAATAGTTACAATTTATCAAAACTAAAGATGGCTGACTGGAGATGTTGGTGACCAATTCTCCTCATAGGGAAGAAACAGAAGTTACAGGTGCATGGTCATAGCTGGAGTGGAGTGTTAAGGGGAGTGTGCTGGAGCCTATCAGAGAGTTTACTGGAAAAATCTGTGACACAAAAAAAAGGAAATAAAGAAAAGCTGGCAGATATCAAATCTGGAGGGACTTAGTACTCCGTGGAAAAGGGTAGGGGGAGTGCTTTTGGCTCCTCAGCCCTTGTGGCAGTCTGCTGCCATCTGAACCTGGGAGGGCTTCTTTGTTCTTGTAAGTCTAAGTACTAGAGGGGGCTGTGATTTGGGGACTTCTTGAGGGCATTATGCTGGGCTACCAGCTTGCACCGGGTCCCTTGCTTTCCCCTCTGAACCCAGGCCATGGTGGCAGGCACGTACTGGGTATGCACCCATTGTGGGACTTTGTCCTGCCCTGGGACCTTCAACCCTGTCTTCACATCACCAGAGCCTCCACAGACATTCCCCAGCACCCACTTGGGTTGTGGAAGCCCCACAGGGCAGCTAGACCCAGAGGATTCCCAGGGGTGTGGCCCTCAGGGACTGGGAAGGGGGAGTGCATTACACCAAGGGAGCACCCCATGGGATTAAAAAAGCCAGAGCTTTTTTCTGTGCCCCAGAACTTCCCGTTCATGGGCAGGGCGTGGCTGAGCTTCTTTAGCAAAGGCATGGGCGCTGTGCTGGGCTCTGTGGGGGAAGACTGAGCGTATGCCCCGGCAGTCGAGCAGCCCCAGTGCTTGAGCAGTGATTGGAGGGGAGGACTTCTCTTCCCTCACTCAGCACTGTGGGCATAGCCGGGGCTTCTCCCTCGGGAGCTCAGCGCAGATGTGCCTGTAGATGGCCTTTCTTGCATATTTTGGGGTGACTGTGTCCCCATGGGAGGTGTGCCTTTCAGGCTCAGGCTTGCACGAGGGATGGAGACCCGCCTTCTCTCTACACAGAATGTCAGCATCCCTGCAGTTGGACAGAGGTCTCTGATCTGAGTATCTGGAACTGGGCAGGGGTGTGACAGGGAGGTAGACTGCTTTCCTGCTGGTCTGGTAGTGGAGCTGAGGCGGCTCCCTCCCTGCCGTGAAGACTTCACTGCATTTCGCTGGCCCTCTCCTCCCACTTCAACAGGGCTGGGGCTTTTGCCCACCACTGAGTATTTCATATACCCATCTGCTTCTGCTGCAGCCTGTTCTTGCCTGTGGGTGCCACCTACTGGCTGAAGGCTGAATTGCTCAACCCAGTGAAAAAAGTAGTAGGGGGGCAAAAGAGCACATCATTGGGGAAGGAGATAAGCTTCATGAGACTTATGCCATTCTGGCCCCAAAGGAGGCAGTGAACCTACTCACACATCCAGTACACTGCTACTACAGGCAGCATCTGTGAAAGCCACCACGTAAAGATTTTCTATAACCAAGGAACTCATACAGAGTTTTTGCCGCTGAAAGCACCCAGAGCCAAAGCTAGGCAATAATAAACTATACACAGTACAGTTTGGATCCCTAGTGCAACTGAAAAGAAAGTCCATAATAATAATAATAATGATAATGATAATAAGTAGTCTCTCCAGATGAGAAGGAACCAGAGAAACAATTCTGGCAATATGAAAGCACAGAGTTTTACAACACCCCCAAATGATCACACTAATGCTCCAGCAATGGATCCAAACCAAAATGAAATCTTTGAAATACCAAATAATTCAAAATGTGGATTACAAAAATGCTCAATGAGATCCAAGAGAAAGTTGAAAACCCACACAAAGAAATAAAAAAAAAATCAGGATATGACTAAAAAAATTTCTAAAGAGATAGATACCTAAAAAAAAAAAAATAAATAAACAGAACTTCTGGAAATGAAGACTCATTTAGGAAATTACAAAATACAATGGAAGGTTTTAACAATAGACTAGACCATTAGTTATGGTTACAGAGCAGAGAATTCACGTGCATATTTATGGAATGATATCGATGTTTCCCTCTTTAGAAAAAGAGGGAAAGAATAAAACATCAAAATATTACAATTTGGAGGGCACAGATATATAAACAAATTATTACACAATATGACAAAAGCTGTAATCAAGGACAAAGTGCAACGGGAACACAGCAGCAGGCGCTGCTTCCTGTGCCCAAGGAAGTCAGGGAAAGCTTCAGAGAAGAGATGGCAGTTAATATGGGTTGTCAAGGATGAGAAATTTTCTAAGTAGAGAAGAACAAAAGAGGCATTGCAGGCACAGGGAGCAGATTACAGCAAGCCACAGATGTGAGGGAGAACACGGCATGTGGGAATGAGTATCACGTAGAAACATCTTTTCCCTCTAGTGACCCACAAATGCAGAGCCCGGGGTCCTACTAAGAACTTCCCCACCAGTGGTATTCCTCTAACCTTTTGAAACTATCAAAGCAGTAGCATCATTTTCCCCCTAAAAGAAATCTTACGTAGAACCCCTATGTATAAAACAGTAAACGTCTCTCTGGGTGAAGAAGGACGGGGATCTCAGCAGTGGTTCCTGACCTCTCTGTGTGGACTGCTGGGCCGTGTTAGGAACCCACAGCTTTAAACAATTTAAAGGCTACTGCCTTTTACTCTTTCTAAGCAGATTGGGTGGGAGCCCTGGTGGCCATGAAAATGCCCTAGTCAGCTGCTGCTCTGCTGGGAACAGGGGTGACAGATGGGAATCCCCCATAGCACTTGCTTGGGTCCATGCTCCCCCAGGGCTGCCCCGCTGAGTGCCTCAGGGCTGCTAGTGCCAGCCTGTTCCTGCAAGATGGGGGACTCCTCTGATGGGTGACTTTGGCTCGCCATCAACCTGGCTGAGACTTCTCGGAACTGTGCTGCCATCTGAGACTGCCCATCCCGCCCCCTCATTATTTCCTGCTCATCCTTCTCAGCTCTCCTCGCTTCGTTCAGTTCTCTGCTCTTCCCCTCGCTGGCATTTCTTTCAATAAAGTTCATGCTTTTCTAAAGCATTCTTGGCATCTGGAGAGGATCCGAACTAAGGAGGAGCCTATGCAAGTGAAACCAGAGACCTGCACTATCCCTGCAATTGTATGTTTCCAGATCATCTCATGTAAGGGTTCCACAGTGCACTGATACTGGTTCGATTCCAGTAAAACCCAACAGGGAGGAGGAGAGGATTGAGAAAGGAGCTTCTGGGCACTCCATTGTATTCCCAGAGCTTGCAAGTTGATCATGAGTGAAATCCAAAATCTGAGTCTGGGCAGATTGAAATATTTGAATAGATATTTAAACAGCCGAAGTAGAATTAAAGAACAGTTAATGGAGGCTGTTTTTACACCCACACAGCCTGGCAGATCATTGC